ACACACACACACACACACACTCACTACACACACACACACATTATATATATATATATATATATATATATATCTTAGTTTCTTAGCAAACGATTACTTTACCGTAGCAGAGAATACGAACTTCAAAACACCCCTCTGTGCCTGTTGCACTAACTTGTGCACTTTTCTCCCCGACTTCGAACTGTGTGCCAGGTAGCCTGGAGATCCGAGTTTAGTAGTTATGTGTCAAATGATAGGAATATTGCTCGCTCGTACCTGTTGTGATCTACTAACTTGTTCAATTCTTCTCTGACTTTGAATTTTATAGCAAGAAGATTTGGCGGCTCTAGGACGACTGGTATTGGCGTTGGCGTGCGGTTCTTTAATAGCGGTGCAGCAGGAAAATCTGGTATGTGGCCATCTCTAATTGTGACAAATTTTGTGAAATAATTGGCATTTGTGATGCACATTTCGAAATTTGGAATGTATTGGTTACCAGTCTTCGATGATTCTGTGAAATGGGTATCATTTTGTGATGTGTAATAAGAAAACCTGGTATATAGTTATTCTCGAATTTCAACGTTGGTGAGATAATCGGCATTTATGACGCATGATACAGTTGCAATTTTGGCCTCGGTATATTGGGTTTGCTGCAATTACCAGATCAGTACCACTCCTGGCCGATTTCATGTATTTAATATGCTTCAGTTCAGTTTTTGTATCAAAATGTAAATCGTTGCTTCCGTTCAAGTATCAAAATGCAATTTTAATATTGTGGACTTCAGACTATCTTAGACCCATATACACAGTCATCCACTCTCCGCTCAACTTGTTCACACCTTGTATGCCATTTCCAGACACGGGCGTTTGAACATGTGACGGCGAACTATTCAAATGATCTTAAGAACCTAATCGGTAAGTCAACACTTACTCGCTAAACAGTGAATGTCTATCTTACCGCAAGTTATCAGCTATGCCATGTACATATTCATTCCTAAAATTATCGCACCTTTTGCACTCTGAACTACAATTTGTGTTGGGCTGCACTGCGAATGCCGATCTAAATTTGTTGAATTCCTTTGTTTCCTTTTGTCTAGTTTGAGTAGGGGAGTGGACATTGTATTGTATGAAAGTGATTAAATATGTCAATTTTGTTAAGCACGATCTGTGGTGTCGAGTTGCGATTATTCCGATCGGCATCGCATTTAGACAAGTGTAGATTGACGCTTGGGCATTGGCGTCGGGAAGTCGGTGCCAAAATGCCACAGGTTACATGCATTTGTAATACATCCACTTGTACCTGAATTCGTGATCCGATTGATGGGTACAGTACTTTTCTGAGTCCTGATGCGCTTTCTAGTTGCGAGAAGTAGCTAAGCTAGATCACACCTATTTGCCTGGATGTACGCTTGTCAAGTATATACATCTTAACCCTAAACTCTAAACCCAGAACCTAACATCCCCATCCCTGTACATGATCAAATTCACGCATACGCGTATTTACACGAGTATGTGTATGAATATTTGGGTATTCTCTCCTTTGCCCGTGTATGTTGCTACACGAATACGATGTATATGCGGGACCGAATGGAGAGCATCAGAGTATGTCCCTTTCTGTCACACTGCACGTGCTATGTGTATTGTATGTAATGCTTGATGTCTACACGAAGTCATTCTGTATGTGACATCAAAATAGATACACGCCATATGAGAGGGCTGGAGTGACCCTTTCAAAACGATTGGTGCATAAACCTAATTGTCGTGCATAAACTTAGTTGTCGTGCATAAACTTGGTTGTCGTCATTTCCTTTGTTGAGGTCACTCGAACCCTCAAACGCCACCCCAATCCCATCCGCAATATCTCAAGCACCGTTGCCACTTAGCCTGGGCTTCATACCTATGTTATATCAACTTAATTAGTAGCAATTTAGAAGCGATCGCGAACTTAGCTATGCGATATGTCGCCTATCGAGCCATGCAATGTACCTTTCCAGTATGGTGAATCATTGAGTACCTTGCAAAAATAATATTGTGAAACAATCTCAGTTACGTTTTTGAACCCCATTTTATGTGCGATCGCCACTATAACCGCGCATATACCTGATTAAACCATTTCATCTCCCCATTATTTCATTAGTGATGACTATTGCTCCCGCGACGTACATCTACTATGTACATCATCGCCTTTTGAATTATGAGTTTAATATCTTCCATTGCTAAGCACAGTTTGAACACCTTGTCATGATGTCTAAAAATAATTCTTCCTGTGTAGTGTATCTTCTGAGCACATTTTTAATTCCACCATAATTCAGAAGTTGCTATTTCTCTTGTGTAGTAGTCAGCACATTTCCACCTCCATATTAATTTATAAATGGCTGTTCTTCCCATCCACCTCCATATTAATTTGTAAATGGCTGTTCTTCCCATCCACCTCCATATTAATTTGTAAATGGCTGTTCTTCCCATCCACCTCCATATTAATTTATAAATGGCTGTTCTTCCCATCCACCTCCATATTAATTTATAAATGGCTGTTCTTCCCATCCACCTCCATATTAATTTATAAATGGCTGTTCTTCC